TATATTAATATATTATAGTTTAAATAAAAATAGATAGGGATGGGGTGGGTGGGGCTTGGAGGTGGGGGTAGAATTAAATGATAAAAAATATGTGCTAATAGATATTACTTTCTCTTTCTCATTTTATGTTTTAGCTGACCTTCTGAATCTTGTAATCTTAAATTAAAAAATATGTATATTCATATATGAAAATGTCATTCAAAATTTTGTGATCTTAATAAATTATGTGAAGTATCTGAATTGTAGAGTTACTAAATGTAGAATTTAACATTTAAAAAAAAAATATACTATAAAAAATACGACATGTAAATTGAAACAAAGCTAGTAAGTATATATAATTTATGAATTTACTGGTTAATGCAAAAGACATAGGGAATTTGCTGCATGGGCTATAGACTTTTTGTTGCTCTTAGTAGGAGTTTGAACATAAATTGAGTGATATTTGCAGAAAATATTTGAAAATTAAATTTTTAAAAATGATATTTAGAAGTTAAAGTTATGTTTAGACACATAATTGACTATAAAGGGAAACACACATGTGATGATAGCCTTGTGTAGATTCATGAATGTGTTGCGGATTCGACAAAATTCAATTTGGGTTCTTCAAATATGTAGGACACTATATTAAAAATGATTTTTAGCGGCGATAAATATATTCCTTAATAAAGAATGCTAAATTTTTTACTGGTATTAATCTATTGTCATTGGATGTAATATCGTATAGGTTGTATGGACATTTACTAAGAGTGCTAATTAATTTACCTTCATAAATATATATATATATATATATATTTAGCGGCAATTAAGATATAATTGTTAATTAATTGTCGCTAAAGATCATTTTTAGTGTAGTGGAAAAAAGTAGAAAAATTATGGCCCTAAATACTTTGTTCATAGTTTACTCAAGAAAATTCAATATACATACCAATAGTATAAATTGTGTATACTTACCAACATGAATTGTGGTGAAGTAGTGAGATTACTTGACTCTCAATCAGAGATTTCGAGTTCGAGCCTTGAGTATGGAGAAAATCCTATTGGGAGCGTCACCCCCAAGCGGGCCCTGCACTGCCCTATCCAAATCTAATCGGGGCTCCAAGTGGGATCCGAACACCGAATGGAAAATTAAAAAAAATATATGTATACTTTATACTAAATATACGTATTATAGCCATAATACATATTATACATATAATATATTATATACATACCTATTGACTATATGTTGTACATAGTGTATATGTTGTATGTTTTCACCAAGTACTAGAAACTAAGTTTTTTTCTACATTGAATCAATGACTCTCTCTCTCCATATATATATATTTTACTATATAAGAAGAGTGAATAAGCACACTCCTCATTGGCCTATCACAAAGATGGCCCACCTACTTTTATACACTCCTCTTTCATTATATTTTAATTTTTTCCTTTTTAAATAGTATTAAAAAATAAATTTAAAATATTACAAATTCGAGTAACTCTCAAAATTTTATGCGAATTCTATAATTAAGACGAAGGGAATATTTTACTATATAAGAAGAGTGAATAAGCACACTCCTCATTGGCCTATCACAAAGATGGCCCACCTACTTTTATACACTCCTCTTTCATTATATTTTAATTTTTTCCTTTTTAAATAGTATTAAAAAATAAATTTAAAATATTACAAATTCGAGTAACTCTCAAAATTTTATGCGAATTCTATAATTAAGACGAAGGGAATATTTTACTATATAAGAAGAGTGAATAAGCACACTCCTCATTGGCCTATCACAAAGATGGCCCACCTACTTTTATACACTCCTCTTTCATTATATTTTAATTTTTTCCTTTTTAAATAGTATTAAAAAATAAATTTAAAATATTACAAATTCGAGTAACTCTCAAAATTTTATGCGAATTCTATAATTAAGACGAAGGGAATAACATATATTATTTGAAAAATTACTATATAATTACTACTCTTCTTATATAGTAATATTTTAATTTTTTCCTTTTTAAATAGTACTAAAAAATAAATTTAAAATATTACAAATTCGATTAACTCTCAAAATTTAACGCGAATTGTATAATTAAGACGAAGGGAATAACATATATTATTTGAAAAATTACTATATAATTACTACTCTTCTTATATAGTAATATTTTAATTTTTTCCTTTTTAAATAGTACTAAAAAATAAATTTAAAATATTACAAATTCGATTAACTCTCAAAATTTAACGCGAATTGTATAATTAAGACGAAGGGAATAACATATATTATTTGAAAAATTACATTAAGAATACCATAAACCACAATAGTTAACAACTTACAATATTTGAAAAACATATTAACTCTCAAAATTTCACATGTGTCACATAAATTGGGACAAATGGAGTAACATATATTATTTGAAATTACGTTAAGAATATTATTAATCACAACTTAAAGTATTTAAAAATACATAACATATATTATTTGAAAATAATGTAAAAAATATTATAAATCATAATAATTAACAATTTAACGGATATTGTCCCCGTGCTGGCATTTAGAAGTGAGAATGTTTAGGAGCTTAGGGTTAGTCAATCAATTGACCGATTTGCCCTTCTTCTTCAACTTCCAGTAATATACATTGGGCCCGCGCTGGCGCGGGAACCTAATAACTAGTATATATATATATATATTATTTATTATTATTATTATTATTATTATTATTATTATTATTATTATTATTATTATTATTATTATTATTATTATTATTATTATTATTATTATTATTATTATTATTATTATTATTATTATTATTATTATTATTATTATTATTATTATTATTATTATTATTATTATTATTATTATTATTATTATTATTATTATTATTATTATTATTATTATTATTATTATTATTATTATTATTATTATTATTATTATTATTATTATTATTATTATTATTATTATTATTATTATTATTATTATTATTATTATTATTATTATTATTATTATTATTATTATTATTATTATTATTATTATTATTATTATTATTATTATTATTATTATTATTATTATTATTATTATTATTATTATTATTATTATTATTATTATTATTATTATTATTATTATTATTATTATTATTATTATTATTATTATTATTATTATTATTATTATTATTATTATTATTATTATTATTATTATTATTATTATTATTATTATTATTATTATTATTATTATTATTATTATTATTATTATTATTATTATTATTATTATTATTATTATTATTATTATTATTATTATTATTATTATTATTATTATTATTATTATTATTATTATTATTATTATTATTATTATTATTATTATTATTATTATTATTATTATTATTATTATTATTATTATTATTATTATTATTATTATTATTATTATTATTATTATTATTATTATTATTATTATTATTATTATTATTATTATTATTATTATTATTATTATTATTATTATTATTATTATTATTATTATTATTATTATTATTATTATTATTATTATTATTATTATTATTATTATTATTATTATTATTATTATTATTATTATTATTATTATTATTATTATTATTATTATTATCATTTTTTTAAATTTAATATGTATAAATAATGCAATTTTTTAATTAAAAAAATCTAATAAATTCCCTTACGCTTCAACCAACAACTCCAAGTCTCCAACACAAAGGAACCATTGAAGTGTTCAACTTTCATTGAAAGTGATAACTTTAGATTGCTTAGGTTTGGCTAAAATGAAACAAAGAAACCGAAGCAAAAAAGGAAAAGAGGAATCATAGTAAGCTTTGGCCCACATGACCTATTATATTGTAAAAATTAGGCAAATGACATAGTATAAGAAAGAAATTACTTCCTTTCCCTAGTCTTTCATTAATTACCAAAAATTCCTTTTTTTAGTGTTTTTCGGATACATAATATAGCAGTGTGGATATTTAATATAGTAGCGTGGATACTTTAATTAATAACGGGCGGATACTTAAATTATTAAGTTGTTAGCAGTACGGATACTTAAATTAACGGGCGGATACATAATATAGCAGCGCGGATACTTTAATTAATAATGGGAGGATACTTAAACTAATAAAGTATCCGGTTAAGTTGAAATAGGGGAAAATAAGGGATTTTTGTATTTTAGTAAAAGAGTAGGGAAATATTGAGAATAGGTAAAGAGGTATTGTGTATTTAAGTAATTTTTCCTATATTATATGGATAATTACGGGTCTAAAACATTCGATTATCTAATTTATAAAATAAATTTAGTTTATAAAATAAGTATAAGATATATGTGTTGGATATAATAGAGTATTAGAATGTATCCACACACAAAATATATCTGCACATTTCACCTTTTGATAAACTAGTTAGCCGAATGGTATACATATATATTTATAACTTCTCTAGTTATTATATTATATTAATAAATAATTAATTAGCTAATTTTATATTAGCCTAACAGTTTATATCAGTAAGCCAATAGTCTTCCATCTCCTTTTTGAAAAAAGGTTCTTCAATCTTCATCTATGTTTATCCTAAAGAAAATAGTATCGAATAATTACTACTAATTGAGAGATCATTTATGAAATCAGATTAATAAGAACATATATTATTCTCTTTAAATAGACTTAAAAATATATAATACATAAATTAAAATAGAAAAAAGTACAAAATAATTATAAATATGGGCTAAGACGTAAAAAAAATAAAATAATTCAACAATTCAGTACACAAAATATTTTATATTTACAAATTTTACGAAAAATTTACATTTAAAAGATATAATATAAACAATCTCCCCCACGTCTAAACCAACACGACACATATTGCTTGATTACGCGCCGTAGGTTTAGGCAATTCAATAATTTTAGAGACAAGAATGCGTGTCCTAAGATTAGTATCACTTATATTCAGCCCCCACTTGATAAGATCACTTAAAGAAGAAAATAAATTATTGTCTTTTCTAACTTTAATAAAGTTTTTTTTTCTTTTTTTAAGTTAGAAGATCAATTCAAGAACAATAAACAAAGGCTATAAATACTGGGAAATTTTTAGAATAAGATCAAATTAAAATTCTTTTCATGGGAGTTCTTGAATTTATTCAACAAAAATGGGAACCAAGAAAATAATACTACTATTATTTTTGGCCTTCTACTTTTCATGTGGATTTTATCAAGCCAATGGTAATATTTTTTATTTTTTTATTTTTCATTTATACACTTTCTCAATTCCTCTTATGTTTTTTTTTACTCTTTTAATTTGAATCAAGATGTTGAAGTGTTGCTATTTATAATTTAATCTGATTACTTAATTGAAAGGAAAACTTTGTATTTTACCTTATTTCAATAAACTGAGATTTTTTTTTTTTGTTGTTTAACTTTTTACATATGAATCATAGAGTAGGAAAACAGGGGATGATTTTTTTTTCTTTTTCCAATTATTTCTTTGGAGCATCTCTACGCGAGCCAAAGAGAAGAGAGTTCAGTTTACGAAGGGTTCGGATTATAGTCCTGAGAGGATTTAGTCAACAAGCTACAAATTCATTTGAATACAATAATTTTGACCAAATCACTATATTTGAAAAAATTATCAAGTTTCACACTATTTCAGCGAGAATCTGTTTCCCACCATGTATTTTCACAGTGAGTTTGATTCGATAGAAAATGACTGGAAAAATCATGTTCTATCAAGTTTAAATTATGTATCTGACTCGATTGAAATTTAAATGATTATTAATATGCATAAATCTTGTATTGTAGTATCTGAACAACTTAACAACAAACATAATGTTGATGGAGATACAATTATAACAAGTAACAACAACAAATATGGCCATGCTGCAGAGTCTCATGTTGTTGGTGGCAGAGGAAGTGGAGGGGAAGCAAATGGCGATGGCTCTCGATCTCCAGGATCGTCGAATTTCATACCAATTTACGCTGCAAATGCTCATCACAATCGCCATCGTGGTGCTGCAAACAGCCACAAGAGTCACAATGTATATCTAGCCTTATTCGCTACAATGTTCTTCGCGTATCTTTGTACTTAAACAGTAGTGTTTTAAAAGACGGGGGCGTGAGGCGCTACAATGCCCATATTGTGCCTATGTCTTGATCTACTTAGGTTACAATTGTGTTTTTGTTGTTGTACATGAAAAAAAAGTTGAAAAACATTTTGATATGTGTAGTGTTTGGTGTTGTTTTTGGTTAGATTTTGATTAGGGTGGAGATGCATTATTAGGATGTGTATTATGTCTTTTTTATTTTCCTCTTTTTTCTACTAAACTTTCCTTTGTATAAGATGTTGAATTGATATACATAAGTTTATCATCTTGTCTTTTATCTATTATTTTTGTTTTTGTCCCCAATCTCTTCACATACATAGACATAAATAACAAAATCATACTAATCAAAAATGAAAAACAGAATAACTTAGTGAAAACTAGTTCACTAGAAATCAGCGGAGTCATAATTTTCACTAAAGAGATACCTTGTTTAGATGGTTGTTACCCGCTGTGTTGTATTGTATTGTTAGTTTAAATATAATGTTTGTTTTGATTGTTACTTAAATTATATTGTATCGTATCGTATTGTTTAACTTTATCGTTAGATAACGATGAAAATAATCATTTTATGTAACGGCCAATTTGGTGTAATCGCATAGTTACCTTAGTATTTTCTTTTCATTTTATCTTTATTTATTATTTAATAATTATTTTTCATCTTTTATCCTCCCTTTTCAGAATAGCTCTTCCACGTACTCTACTTTTCTGGTAGATTTATCACTCAAATTATGAATGTGTGACATTATATAACGATGGAGAACAATACAATCTATCCAAACACTGTATACATTAAAATAATACAGTACGATACAATACAATACAATACATTATGAAACAATACGTAACAACCATCCTGTATAAATTCGAATAAAAAATTAAATGCACAAAAGCCAAACAAGTTTTAAAAAAAGTTCGTATAACATAATCTGAACTCTATTTGTGAAATTATATCAAATTTATTGTAACATGTGGGTTTTCTCCCCTTTTTCAATAAATAAATTGTTTTATACATTAAATTTCATTCTTTTGTGCAGAGAAAAAATTAATTCATATAACTGTTGCCTAAACCTCAGAGGAGGTCTATGCAATTCTTCTTTATTTTTATCCTGATGGTTTAGCATCAGTTAGTAAGTTAGTAGTGGAATCATAATTTGTATTATGGAGGCTCCAAATATAAGCAAATAAATATAAAAAGAAGTTAAAGTAATATTTATTTTGAACTTTATATAAAATATAAAATTAGCATTATATATTAGTTTTCATTTAAATTAAAACAGTTAAATTATTCTCATAATTACCAATATAAGTTTTTTCTCAAGTCTTTACAATCAAGAGCACTTATCTCGAACTTTAAATAGAGGACAAAATTATCCTATTTTGAATATTCAAGAACAAAATTGACCCATTTTTCCTTGTTTTGGAGCAAACGGTAGTAAGAAGAGTATTTTTTATTTGAGTTATTTTGATAGTTTGAGGATATTTTTAAGCCAAAAATATAACAGTAAAGATACTTTTGAACAAAAATGTAATGAATGAAGAATAAAATTATCCTATTTTGAATAGTTCACGAGTATATTTAACTTATTTTCCTATGTTGTAATTAATAAAAATCGATGCTTGCATTAGGGTGCGATTCTTCTTCAAATTCTACCTGAACATAAAATATATTTTACATCAAATAATCTTTTATCTACCATATAATTTTTTTAAGATAAAAAAAGTTTGAATAAACTCTTTACGACTCTAGCTCCACCTCTAACATCAGCCAAAGGACTCTACAATGCCCCCACATTCCACAAAGTAAATAGGAAATAAAAACTATGGATATCATGAATTTTACCACAAAGGACAAAGATATTCCAAGCACTTTATATCCTAGGAATCTTTAAATTTAAAGTCAAGTGGACAATCTCATCAAGCAATTGCTAAATTTTACAATATAATGAAAACACATACCATATATTAAAATCATGAAACCCTAGTTGCATGCCTTTTCACCAAAACATGAACTTTATTCTTTAAGACTAACATATATAGTCCATTGCTTTCATAAATTGTTTATAAGAAAATACACATCATATTATACCTTTTCCAAACTTTCTTTTATCCTATTAATTGTATTCTATGACATTATCTATGTAAACTAACCTTTCCCTTTAAAGTATTAAACCAAATTCATAGTTAAGTGCATGTATTTTCCTACATAGAATAGTATGTATATATATATATGCGTGCACGTGTGTCAGTGTGTCACCTCTAAAAAAAAATTATTGAATTCTTGATTAATTATTCCTTTTCACTTAAAAAAAAATTCCTTTTCCCTTAAAGTATTAAAACCTAACTCATAGTCAATTATTCCTTTCCCTATAAAGTATTAAAACCTAACTCATAGTCAAGTGCTTGTATTTTCCTACTTAGAATAGTAGAGAGATATATAGATGTGCCACCTCTACAAAAAGAAAGTTATTGAATTAGTGATTATTTATTTATATTTATTAACTAAATTTTAACATAAATATGGGGATTTATGCTAAATCTATTGGATTTTGCCGAACCAGATGTAATCAACATGCTAGCTTCGCCCTTACATGTATGCTACAATTGGTGGAGCTAGGGTACCACAAGGAGTTCGGATTTTAATAAAAATTACATTTCATATACATAATACAAGATTTAAATTATTTTTTTCGTATATATAATATATGTTGAATTTTCTTGACTTTTTTATATTTAAATCTCCTTAGTGAAAACATTAACTCTGCTACGATGTTAGTTTGTTCTAAAAGCAACTATCACATCCCTTTTCCTTTTATTAAAAGTAATGATCATTTAATTTATAATTTCCTTGGGATGGAATATTATAGGGGGGAAAGGAATAACTAATAAATGGTATCTGAGTTTCCAAGCCACAGATTTGTGTATGAAATAATGAGAAGCTTAAAGATGTACACCTAATTATTCTAATTCATCAAGAAATGCAATGTAAAGATTCTTTTCTTGGATGTCTCTTCTTCCTAGGTATTCAAAGGTAATGTACTTTTTTGAAATTAATTAAAGATAATTGTTCAAAGTACCTCTCTATGTTGGGTTCAAGAAGTAATATCCTCCCCCTCCAAATGTATGATATGGAAGGTTAGAGTCAAATGTACAGGTTGAGTTAAAATTGTATACATTAAAATGAGTTAAATAAAAAAATAAATGATGTCATTGACCTATTTAAAAGTTTATTAAGTTGGGTTGGTCAAAATAGATTAAATGAAAGGTTATAGTCGAACCAACTTAATTTTAACCAAAGTTTTATTTTCTTAAAATTTGTTTAGTACTAAACAAACTAATGATTTTTTTTTTTATGAATAAAACATATCAAACAATTTATTTTTCTTAAAAGCTTTTGAGAAGGTTTACATGGATCAGTTTAGACATTATATTTAACCTAAATCAATTCTAATTCTTAGATGATGAAATGAATTAGACAAATTAAAATAAATTGTATTTTTAATAAATAAGTGAGTGCAAAGGCTACAAGAAAAGAAGATGAACAATATAGTACTGTGATAATTGAAACACAGTTAATTACAAATAATAATAGATATCAAAAGTAAGAACTACAATAATACGAATAGTACAACAACAAACACGTATCAACAAGTCTAAATCCTTGAAAACACACAAAACAACCCTCAACTACCTACTAACTGTTTACCTTAGTACAAACGCCATCCACACCATTTTTTTTTATCTAATATCATGTCCTCAATAACCTAAAGTTACATTATATCTTGTCTAATCACCTCCTTCAATATTTTTTTGTCCTACCTCTACCTCTCCTCATACCTACTACTCCCTCCGTTCATTTTTAGTTGTCATTTTGCGTTTTTCGAAAGTCAATTTGACTAGTTTTCAAAGTTAAATTAGATTACATTAATTCGATATTTTTAAACTAAAAATTTTGATATTCAAAAACTATATACAAAAAGTACTATAAATTACAAAATTGACATATTAATATAATGAAAAATTACATCATAAAATGTTAGTCAAAGTTTTTATCGTTTGACTCTAAAAAAAGGAAATCATGATATAACTAAAAAAAAACAGAGGAAGTATAACCAACCTCTCATACCCTCCTCACCGAGGCGTCTGGGCATCTCCTCTTCAGACGTCCAAATTATCTTAATCTCACTTTTCTCACCTTGTCTACCACATAGATCACTCCCACCTTATCCCGAATATCCGGTGTTTAAAACAAAAGGTAACTTATATTAACATTGACTTGGGTCGATAATGGGTACTCGATTCATGGATAATATGATATTACCCGACCCGGGCCACCGATTAGGAGATCTTTTAAACCGTGCGGATCCGTTCCGGGTTGGCCCCACCCGTTTAACAGACTTGGTACCATTGTTCAACAGAGACTTCGCTTGAGGCTTCAACGAAGTCATCAATCTGAGTTGTTGAGAGAGAAGAAACTGCGGAGAAGATGAATCAGAGGTCAGCCGTAAGAGGGAGGCCGTCGGGAACTGATGGCTCTGATTTCTCCTACCGCATGGTCGTTGATTCAAGTACTGTTTCCCCATTTCCGTTTCACAATCTCTCATTTCCATTTTCCATCCGATTGCTTTAATGCTCTTTTTTTTTTTTGGCAGGATACACGAAAGTTGCAAAAGCAAAGTCTCGTTTGGCCAAATTGATCATCGTTCAGGTTTGTAGATTGAATTTATGTTTTAAAAAAGTAAAATTGGGGTAGAGGAAGCAGAAATGGAGGAGAGGATTACATAGTCAATTAACTGAGCTACTGAATTTTTTAATTGTTACATAATCTCTGGTTTAATCAGAATTGGTTATTTTAGGGCTATTTTCCAGTTTTTGAGGTAGGATTTAAACAAGTTCTGAAGTTAATGGTTTCTCGGTCTAGCTCATTGCACGAGGTTTGCCTAGTGTGGTTTACCTCTGCGAGTGGGGTTTATCGAGTGCAAGGTAGTGGCTGTGGATTCACTTGACATAAAAAAGTCATGAAGTTAGTTGTTTTTAAATACACCATTACTCATCAGTTGATGTAGGCAACTGAACTTGAATTGTACTGCCATTAACGCATTGACATTTTTGTTTAGGATCCAATAGGATAGTATACTCTCGATTCCCCTATTTTAGATTTGTTGGTTAACTGCATCATTTTTTTAAAACTAGAATATTGATAGTCAAAACTAGTGGAAAGAGAGATAAATGGAGGCTTAACTAAACTAGTTATCTCGTTTCCAGTATTTTAAGCGACATGCTCTGGAATAACAATGTGTAAGCATATTAGTGTGAGATCTTTCTATTGATAATTTTGTATCGTGTGCTTCAGGTTGTCACTCAATTGATGATAGCAGCTAATGTATTTGTTTCATTATCAAAGAACAAGTCTCCCGACAGAGTTTCGGTTGTTTCCCTTGGGATTGGTTTCGTGTCTGTTGTGGCAGGAGAACTAGGTTTGCTACTGGATCTCATTTGTGATCTAATCTACTTAAACGTTCATTTTTTAATTGGACATTCCCTCTTGTTGTAATTAGGTCGAAAGAAAAGCCGATCCAATTTTCTAAAGTTTTATGTCTTTGGGTCATCGATGGCAATCCTGCTGTCAGTGGCATATCTTGCTATGAGCAATCTCCAATTGGAGGTATGGTTATGTGGCTATTCATTCCGACTAGAAAAATGATGCTTAGCTATTGTATTAGACAGAAATGTATCTACGACAGAAATATGCTAAATAGGTTTTATATTTTAGCACTATTCTCATAGTTTCTTGTTCGTCGATTGCTGTTACCATATGTGTTTCTTGTGCTTCGGTTATCACATTAGTTCATTGTTGTTACTGTTCTTTTTTGTGTATGCTATGTACTGCTTTCCAGCTTTATTTTGTTATTGTTACTGCTTTCATTTCTGTGTTCTCTTTTTCAAACTGCTTTGAGATGCTTTACTTGAGCTGAGTGTCTATCGGAAACAACCTCTCTATCTCTACAAGGTAAGGGTAAGGTTGCGTACATTCTACCCTCCCTAGACCCACTTTTGGAGTTACATGGGGTATGTTGTTGATGTTGAATAGGGACCTCTTAGTTCTTTGGCATGATTGTATTAAGAGAACCTTGATTTACTTGGATGATCTAATGGCACTTGAGTTGAATTCCTTAACTTCACTAAGAATTTCTTTTGAAGTTAAGTATTTGAGTTTTTAATGTAAAACTTAGGAAAACAATCTTCAAGTTCAAGATTTTAAATTGTAGTTTCAAGGTGTATTTGAAGGGATGTTTTTCAAATCTTGAACTTGCACTCACAAATTCTCAAGTTCCACCAACTTTTTTCCAATCTTGACTTCAAATAGTTTTTTAGAATCGAAAGAAGCAGTACTTATATTTCTTAACTTTGTAAGTAATGTTCTGATCGATAGAACTATTTCCTCCATTTACACCATGGAAAATTTTGTCACTCTAGTATGATTTTCAGGTAGTTGCTCGTTAATTTGCAGTCCAAAATAAATAAGTTGATATCACAAGTCCTTCCTTGACAACCCTTATCTTAAGAAGGTTAAAAAGAGAGTATAACCCAACTCAATAGGTTGCATAAGGCTTGATAGATTGATTAAGATGGAAATAAAAGAACGCAACTAAGCAGTAAGTATGATACTTAATTGGAGTACACAAAGCACCATCTTTACAGTGTATCTACTTTTTCCTTCCTTCAGAACCAGTCAACCTGGGGTATTTCTTCCTCAATTGCAAAAAGTCGGTCGTTGTTTTGATTTTATGTGAATTTTCTTCTTCCTTTGATCTCTTAATGACATTATTGTGTATTTGCTTCTGTCTTTGATTTCTCGTTATCATTTTGGCTTGACTAAAAATAATCTAATGATGTTATTGCGTAGGCTTTCCAAAATTTTACGAGTTTGGAAACTCTGAAGATTGCAGTTGTCCTACTAGGTAAGCTTCCTGATGCAAAGCTGGTTCTCATCATATGTTGTATACAGTTGATGTATTGACCGTGCTCTTGTTCTGCAGGATTTGTGGTGCAATTATTTGTAATTGGTACAACCATTTCTCTCATTAAAAATATGGCACCTCCTAAGAGGGCTTCTTGATTATAGTCACTCTGGTGTAACTCCAAATGTCTTTTGACTGACTAAAGAGGATACTTATATACTTTGGGATTCAACGGATATGGCGTTTTTGATTTAAGATCCGTGAGCTGAGTATCAGATCCCACTGATATACTTTGTATATCAGTGTTTCTTCTCTTCACACAAGTCGGCGTAGAGACAAGATTGTTGGATTTAGAAGGATTCATACTGGATTGCTTTGAACTCACTTATCTTTTACATTATGTTTCATTAGGTGCAACGGTTGCTGCTCGCGTGTACTTTGTATCCGACTTTGTGAGGGCACTGATTTTCCAACATTCTCTTGGGACTTAAATACACATTTTGGCTAAATACTTAATGAGGATTTTGAGAACATGGATTATGTTTATGTTTGGATGATCTTTACTTGGCTCTTGTTTGTTGAATTCTTTAACTTCACTTGGAAACAAATTTTTGAAGTTGTGTTTTGAGTTTTTCACTAACAGCTTTATAAGACTGAGTAAAGATGTTAAAATGAATTTTGTGGATAGCTTTAAAATGGGCCTATGATAGATGAGTAATCCGGTGTTTTTGATTTTTGACCCTGCTAATTTTATTATTATTTTTTTATAAAAAAAGCCTCGTTTCAAAAAAATAATAATTAACTTTTGCTTATAAGACAAACATTTATAATATTTAAGATTGCAAACTTGTTCAATTGATCAGAAATTGTCTTATAACCAAAAGTTAAAACTTAGGTGGTGTTCAGTTCAATTGAAAACTTAGGTGACATGTTCAAAATATTTCAAGATAATGAACTTATTCAATTGATCAAAAATTCCGTCTTATAGTCAAAAGTTAAAACTTAGGTGCCAGGTGTTCAGGATATCATATATCACATATAAATATATATATATATATAAAAGAGAACCTTATTCCCACCTACGTGGCGCCATTACAAACCAGAATTCTCTTTTAATTTATTTATTTCCAAAACTAGCCTTCTCTTTTCATGAAAAGTTGTGACTTTTATGAAGAGTTGCGACTTTAATGAAAAGTTGCGACTTTAATGAAGAGTTGCGACTTTTATGAAAAGTTGTGACTTTTATGAAAGGTTGTGACCTTTCCGAAGGGTTGCAACTTTTTCAAATAGTTGTAACCTTTCCGATAAGGCACAATAAACATTTGTTCACACTACCCTTTGTTGTTTATAAATAGATAGATTCTTCTCATTTTAAAGCAACGAAAATTCTGAACCTCTTCTTCTTCTTTTTCGTTTTCACAATTAAATATTTGTGTACTTTGCTCATGTTGTGTGGCTCACTGACACCATTGCTTATGTTACAGACCCTAGTATGTATTTTTACAGTCATTAATTTATGCTTAT